ATGTAGGAAAGTTGCTGTGAGTGCAACGAAGTTAAATTCAAGAAGAGTGTTTGTACGGAAGAGTCATTTGAAATGCTGCGTCCACGACTGGAATTTGATTTCATACGATTTACAAAAATATCCACTTGTGCGCGCATATTCGAGGCGAATTTGTCGATTTGCACCTCATCAGCTGACTGTGGGCAAAATTAAATTTAGTAAACACTTTCTTGCATAAACAAATGACTAATAATATTATATATAATATAAAATATAAACACCTTTGGTTGTGTAGGTGCCGGTTCTGCTTGCGGTTGCGGCGTCGGCATTGGGCTCGGTGCTGATGGACTTGCCAACGGCGATTCGTTTACTTTGCGTTGTTCCCAATAAGAGCGATTCAAATATTTAGCCAGATCTGGATTCGTTTCTTCTTGCTGATATTCTTTAGGTGCTGGCGGTGCTTCGGGACTTGGCGAACGCTCTGGCATACGGTAAGCGACCAAATACTAAAGTAAATTGATACGAAAAATATTATTATTTGCGCTCTTTCTCATATTTTGTCTTTGTTTATCGACGTTTCGATAAGATAACGTTCCAACTTACATTTTGTTTTTGTTGTTTCTTCTTTTCCTCGGCCTCCGATTGACTCAACGCTAAAGCTAACTGCAGTTCTTCTTCTTCTTTCAATTCTTGTTCACTTTTACGTGGTGGCGTCTATAAACAAATTTGATAAATTAACTTAAAATTGTTTCTATTGAAACTGTTGTTAATAATTTGACGAAAATTGCACACTCACACACACCTGCACTTGCTGTGAAAGCGAACTATTGACATATTCAGCTGGCAAATCACTCTCAGCTGCAGTACGTACTGCTGGCTTGGTATTCGGACGTTGTAAAATTACATAGCAGCCATCGCAAACGCGCACCTAGACAAAAATTTCACATTTTTATAAAGTTGTATTAAAATTATTGCCCAAAAAAAAAACAAGCTTACATCCTTTTCAATGCCAAATTTAGGTAGTGGACACTGTTTGTTGGAGCATTTACCACAAAATACTTGACCACAATTGCGGCAATGATGCTTACGATTGGTGAAGTTGAATTCGTCGCGACAGCGATGACATACTTTGCCATCAACCCAAATTGGCGCAGTGTCGGCTGTGAACATAGCATCTGCTTCTTTCAGCTCTGGGAAAGTATGTCCCTTTGCTTTTAGTATAGTCATAGTGTCCTAAAAAGAAAAGGCAATACTCGTATTTTACTTTTCATTTGGTTGCATAAAATCTTCACTTCTTCATCCAGGCTTAACTCCGATTCGGTACTCATTTTAAAAGCGCAAAATTAAAAGTTGTATTGAAGCGAACAAGTTTTCAGACCTTATTGGATTGAAAAGCGTAATTCAATTAAGTTCATCAATACACTTTCATTATGTTAAGCGGACTTTCTTTATCTCTACCGAATTATCAGTCATTGCCTACATGCTATGCATTCATTTTAACTTTTTTTCTTTGTTTCATTTTCTTTTCTTCAGCACACATGCATATACTAACCTTTATTGATTGATATTTCTCTGATGAGCGAAATGCATATGCCCAAGTCTGCACTAATTCCAACATTTTCTGACGCACATTTTCATGTGGTGTCTGCTCCAGAAAGTTACTAAACATTTCACAGTTCTCCCTGGTAAAAACTTCGTCATGCATTGGAGCGCCACAATTTTTTACTACACTTTCCAACACCAGGAGCGCATAACAAGCTGAATGTGGATTCGGTGAACTCATTTTTTTCTTAATTGCAGCAAAAGCGTTTTTGGGACTAGAATTTAGAAATAAAACAATAATAAAAGTTAATGCGCATTTAAATACAGAAAATGTAACATTCATAAGTGCATATGCAAAGAACTAACAATAATATAAGTATATACATATGTATGTAAATATTTTGCACTTACGTGACATCCTTTTGATTGATTTCATCACAAATGAGTAGAATAGAAGGCCACTCAGGCTCCAAACGCAGGTGGCTTGTGGCATTTTCTAAAAGTTTCGAAAAATATTAGATATTTATACGTAAATGATAAAAATTAAGTGCTCTGCTGATAGTGACAAGGCAGTTCGCTGACCCACCCGTTGCAGTTATTTGTGTTACTTATCGTTAAGCTGTACTTTGGCTGCTGAGTCATTAGAGTGTAAAATGTAAAATATTTCACCGTAAAACTGTAAATTTTATCTTTTGCTTACCAAGATTTTTTTCAAAACTTGATTTAAACATTATTATTTGTGCGGAATATACACTTTCTAAATAAAATTAATTAGTTAAATTTATATCAAAGAAAACTTTTTGCACTACTTTCGTTTATTTGACGTTTACTGCAGAAACCAGAATGACAGCTGATAAATTGTAATAGAGCGGAAAAACAGTGCTCTTACAAGAGCTACTGTATCAACTAACTTAATTAACTTGTAAATAATTTAAGGTGAAAATATCGATAGTATTTAAATATACATTATTATTAATTTTTAAAAATGGTTTATTATTAGGCCTTTAGTTTTGAGAATAATATCATTTACCGATTTGGTTATGAACTGCTCCAAAAAAACGTAAAATAAATATATCAATTCAAAGTTGATTAGCATTGAGTTAAACTATGCTCTGACTTTCTCACTCTGCGTTTTGGTTATTCCGTTATATCTGTTGATAATAGAATGCACCTGATATTTTAAATTTGAAAGTTATTATTAAAGTGAATTTAAAATCATCATAGTGCATTGATAATTTTATCCAAGCCTAATAAAATTTCGTCTATAGCTTTTTGATTGTAAATTTAAGCTCAAATACACATGTACATACTAACATAAATTCAACAATGAAAGAGGAATGAAAGCGGAAACATACGCCACATTCTACCGACGTTGAAATTATGCCTCTATTGAATCTCCTTACAAAGCATAGACATTTAATTGGAAAAAAAATCGATCGAAATAGTCATAGTCCTATATAAAGTATTTATAAATACAAATTTTTCATAAATATATTGGCAACAGTCCTTACGGAACTTATTTCGGGTATAGTAGATAAAGATATCTTCATCATATCTTGCCTAAAGATGATTAAAATTTTTATTCAACTTGTCTACTAAACGCTAATTGAACTATCCTTTAATAGAAGAGAAATACGATGTTTTTATTAGCAAAGTAAGGAAGTTAGTCAGGACAGCCGTTAATGACTGCTACAATGTGTTTCATCATAATACTGATACTGAAAGGCACTTCATTTTATTTCATTTGACATTACTAAATAATAAAAATGTTTTTTTTGTTTAAAGAAATTGTTTAATGACAGTACTGAAAGCCACAACTTGCGTAAAGTTGATTATCAGGATAGCGGTGTTATCCGAAAAGTAAAATATTTAGTTAGGACTGTCCTTGACGATTGCTACACAGTGTATGAAGAGTTTGCACAAATCGCTTTTTGGTAATATTACTGACACAATTTTAACTTTAGTCTGTCTTTTAACTACATATATGTATATGTTTCTTAAATTCCCTACCTCAAATTATTTTTTAGAAGGCTATGAAACGGAATCCACTTTAAAAAATAGTTCTAATAATCAATTGAACCGTGATTATCCAGTTTCATCTCCGTTATTTCCTAAGATGATCTTGTTTTTTTCTTGCAAGAGTTGCAGTTTTCGCCCTAAAAATAAGGATCAACTTGGGAAATAAGGCACACCCTAGTATCAAGAGTTTGGTTTAGTCCAATTAATAAATATCAGCAAAAAGTTTGCAGCACTATTGGCACAAAGGAAGATTCTAAAACTGCAGTTAACGAATGAAAGGGAAAATTTGGAACATAACTGTATTATGCGGATACAAACATGAGCGTTTTATGTTAAAGCTCGAGGCTGCAGATGCACAGAAAAAGTGTGTGCGTAACGAAATGTTCAGAAAGATCCAGTTGCAAACCTAATTATGTGTTCTCGCTACTCCTTAAACTTTCGAAATAAAATATAAACACATTTCACGTTTGTGTAATTATCGGTATATTTGGCCACGTTTTTTTCTTCTCAAGGTTCTACCCTCATGTGTCGGAACCGCTGATATCCGACAACTTTATCCATGCCGACAACTGTAGCATATAGCTGCCATACAAACTGACTGATCAAAGCGCCTCAGTTTAACTGTAAACAGTAATAATAGTAAAAGCGAGAGAACAACGTCTTTTTTTCCAAATCACTCCATTTATTATTCATTTAACATTTGCGTTTTGTTAAAAATATATAATAAAACTAACAACGCTCACAAAATAACTTAACTATTATTATTCGTTTACTTTGTATTCTGCTGCTTACCAAACAACTTCGAAAATTCCTTCACTTATAAACTTTAGTGCATTTGTTTACTTTGTATGTGTGCATGTGCACATAATATATATAAATATATATAAAAGTGTTTATATGTATATATACAATAATTAAATATATTTATAGAGTAAGTATGCAGGCACGAACGTCTTATCACACAAACTACTTTTATTATATCATATACAAATCTATTTGTGCTTAATACAATCTAAAACAAATTTTACACTTTGTAGATATACAGACATACATATAAACGTACTTATGTGAAACACATGTGTTTTAAAAATATTTTTTTAACTTTAGTTTTTGTTTATTTAAAATTATAATACTATCACACATAGGTTTTGTTTTGTTGTTATTGTTTTTTTTTTTAATTTAATTTTTTTTTTACTTTTGCGTTTGTTCATTATATTTAATATTTAAGTATTCAGTTGGCATTTGTAAATATTTATAGCAATATGACTTTAAACGATTTTGCTTCATATTTAATAAATAAATATTGCAAGTAATTTTGTTATTCATTCTCAATTATAACGGCTTTGTTTATGCTGCAAAGGCTTAGTTGTTTTAGAATATCGTTTACTTTGATTAATATTTGCTAATTTTTGGCTGCTTTTACAGTAGTTTATCGCTATACATACATATTTATGCACACATTTTTTGTTTTTCTTTTTGTTGTAGCACTATTTTTTATTTAATTTTGCTACATATTTCGAACAATACACCGTAACTTATTTTATAAACAAATATTTAGATATAATACTACTACTACTAGTAAATTAACAGTATTTTCTACTTACATATATCACCTATATTTATACATACATACATATACATATATATATGCAAACATATTACATTATATGAATTATAATATAAAGTATTTTACGTTCGCAGCTTTCGCTTTAGCATAACATAAGCTAGTCCTTTAAAAGTCGACAGTTGCAGAAACATTATTAATATATTCATGCCGAAATTTCCATTTTCCATGCCGAAACTGCGTAGCACTGTACTGGCATTTCTGCAAAAAAAAAATATAAATTTCAAGAAATTCTAATAAAGATATATATATCCGGTTAATAAAATTTAGAATTAACTAAGCTCGGGCGGTTTCGAATGTATACTTTCATAAAAATTAAATGTAACATACTTATCTTACTTTGTGTATTTTGATTATTAAACAAAAACTATATAGCTAGCTATAATACCCTTTACAGTTGCATTTCTTATAGCATAAAAGGGTATATTCTAAAAGAATTTGTATTTTGATTTTGATAAGCCAGTTTATATGGCAGCTATTAGCTATAATGTTCCGATCTAAACAATATATTCGGAGATTACACACTTACCTTGGACAATAATCTAAGCCAAATTTAGTGAAGATAATTTCTTAAATAAAATATTTCGAAGTTTGTTACATTGCTTGGGACAATAATCTATGCCAAATTTCGTAAAGATATCTTGTTTTGAATTTGTTTTTTCAAATATTAGGTTATTACACATTTTTTTCGATTATTTTTCTAACATCCTGCTTTCCGCAAATTCTTACAAACGAAAGTTTTTCCTTATTACTACTCACTTAAAATGACAATACACCACATCCATTGGGCAATAAATATTCCCCCGATTATTAGAATATATCGCCAACACCATGCTCTCGAGCGCATAACGAATTGGTGATAAGTACGATAATAAGCGCATTAAGCTCGACATATGTGTGAGCAGTATAAGAAAACCGGAGAATATCAACATGAAACAAGTCAATACAGCACCGACAAATGTACCGTTCTGTAAAGAAAATATTTTTTCAATAAAAATGTATGTATTTATATATATTTGTAAATAATAACAATAAACTATTTTATCTATATATTTATATCAAGAAGGATGTGTATATTATGAAATCGATAGACTCGGAAACTATTTGACCGATCATTATGAAAATTGTATATGTATTTTTTCACGGAAAAGGTTTTTATGCTATTCCCATTGGCATAACTCGCCACCAGGCGATTGCAAAGCAAAATAAAAGCACCGTTATTTTTGCAGTCCCTACTCCACCGGCCGATTTTTAAATTTTCTTTTTTTATTCCTTTTTATATTCTTTGAACATCAATAAAACTGTTATTAATTTTTTTTATCTCAGTTTGAAAAATGCCTAAAATTAAGGCGTCTATACCACAATACCCCTTTAATAGTAACCCATTTCTATAGATCAAAGAAAATTTTATCGAAGTAGAATATTTTCTTGACCACTTTCCCTTGTGGGTTTATTTGTAGTATTATCGATACATACTCGATACGTACTCGTACATCGAAATTTTGATTTTCAATTATTGGTTCTTAGTACCAAGTACTCACAATTGGATTCAATATAGTGCCTAATAGTACACCCAGTCCATCGGCGCATATCGTCACCACGACAGCTGTCAACATGAATTTGGCATAACGTTCAATTTCAAATGGTTGATCGGTCATCAGGTAGGCGATGGTGATATATGTCATGGAAAATATGATCTGTGGCATAAAGAGGGAGAAATCGAGAAGAAAATAGATATAGACTTTGGTGTATCATTTACAAAATTTAAAATTTCAAACTTACGTGTACCGGTGTAGACGTTATCAGCGTTGCCATATAATACGTTCGTAATTTATACCAATTGTTGAAAGTTTCCTTTTTGACTATGCTGATTTCCTGAGGGACTAAAATATAAGAAAATTGTTATTGTAATTAACAGTATTATTTAAAATATTTATATTGGAAAAATATATATACTTTTACGTTATTTTGCCGATATTTGAAAACTGTCGATTTCAAGAGTATATAATGTGTATCATTAGCCAAGACGAGAAGAGCTAGAAGACTTAACTTTACAGTTTCACAGAACCCTTCATTGCTAAAGGTCAGAATAACTTAGCAAAAAATAATTTATCAAAGGCAATGGCATCATAGACAAAGGGTTAGGCTTGATTTAAACTCCTAGATATAGATAAAAAAAAATCCTCCAGGTATCGTCGAAACGTTTGAGACCGCTAATATAGAGTCAACTTCAGTCTACGTAAAGCTGGACAGGAGAAAGTGTCGAAATGTTTGTACATAGCATTCCTCGAGCAACTCAATACACTTCTAGCAACATACTACTTTTGAAATCCCTCCACTTTTTCATTTATATGTATATACGTTCATATATATGTATATGGATACTTGTATGTACTCACATCTCAATAGGCCCGGCATCATTGTCGTATACCATAAATACGTATTGTGTATTGTGAATGAACCTAAATTTGCAATCTGCTTTGTCGCATTTGAACCGGAGTCGCCATATAGCAGGCCAATCAGTATAGCGCAAATAATATGCACAGCCAATTTTAAATAGGTCACCGTCTGTGGAATTAAACAACAACAACAACAATAACAGCATAACATTATGCAAATAGAAAAACAATCAGTCAACATTCTACTCCTCTTTTCATATTCTCATTCCACATTTGCCTCTTTATACTTACCCAATCGCGGAAAAATTGCACATGACAACGACCGATCAACAGCCACAGACGCATCCATTCTGGCGGCGGGTAAACATGTTTTGTGGCAGATATTGGTGGTGTTATCGATGGGGATAGTTGCTTTACCCCTCCCCGTTTAGACTCCATCATTTTCACAATTTGTACGCCATTTAAACCATCCAAGTGTTGCGGTTGCTCCGCATCATAATCATATCGCCATTTAGGCTGTCGAGCAGCAGCAGCTAAGTCATCGGTATGATCGCCATAATCACCATTCACGCACTCCAACACTGCAGAGATACATATAAGAAGAATTATTATTAGTTAAGTAGTTTTTACTGCTAGTTTTTCTAGAGAAAATGAAATAGTGCAGGTTATAAGTATGGTTAATGAGATTTATTCATACGTGGAATCACGAGTTATATCATAATCGGCAATTGTGGTTTGAGTAGTTCATTCTTTTCCGACATAGCCGAGTTCAATAAATTTGCGATACAATAATTATCGCCATTTGTCATTTTTTGGTGAACGTCAGACCACTAAAGGTCTAAAAGGCTACAAGTGGTCAGCGAATGCTGTCACCTCAAGGTAAACCTTGGTAGAAAAGGTCGACAAAGTTAGGTATACTTTACTTACAAAACAACGCCTCGATCAGATGGTTAATTAGAGGAAGCTGAACTGCCAGCAAAGTAACTATGTAAGTTCTAGTAAAAAGAGATCTATTATACAACATTTTCAATAGATGGCTTTAGTAATGGCGATAACATGCATTGTAAAAATGCGTTACGCTATATGACGTTAGAAAGATAAAATTACGTACAAAAAAAACTTCTCAGCCAGTTTTGTGTTTGTTTGATTCAGTGATGTTTTAGCGCGCGTCAATATGGGCATAAAAAAAGAGAAAATACGCCACATTTTACACTTTTTCTTTGATAAAAGCGAAAACCCAAAACGGGCGACTGAAAATGTGAATACTGTTTACTGTACTGTACTGATACTGTAACAGCCAATAATGCGTAATTTTGGTTTCGCCGATTCCGTTCCAGTAATTTTAATCTGAAAGATGCACCACGCCCAGAAAGGTCAAATGTCAATCTAAGCTATACAAGAGCTAAATGTTGCACAAAACAACTTGGAACCATTTCTATAAGTTCAATATATGTGTGCCACACGAGCTAATGAAATAAACCTTATGGACCGAGTTTTTATCTGCAAATCGTAAGATAATCGATCCATTTCTAAGGCGGATGGTTACTGACTGCGGTGTAAATCGTGGCTAAGCCACAATTGACAGTCAGAAAGATTGTGCTATGTATTATGGGATCCATTTTCGGCAAATAGGGGAGCAATTGTGTTTCATTAAGACAAGCCAGGACATCGCAATCGACTATCGTAGTTTATTGCCAACAGGGACGAGGGTTTCCATAAGACTGTCATTATCAAATTACCTTCAAAACGGAAAACAATTATGGAAGCATACGGGGCATATTTCATCTAAGCCAGATAATTCTAAATAAGCTAAATAAAGCATTCAATTTATTGTAAAAGTATTGGATTTCGTTTTTACTATGACCCATATTTTGAGACATACGCGAAGATGTCAGTTCGATTTCATATCAGCAAATCCTATATACATGTTCGACTGATAGACGTAAACTATCAGTTGAAATTGATCTATAAACGGGAGTAACATAACAATGCGACCGAAATTATTTCATACTTACAAAAATCAGCTGGATTGTGATAAGTCGGACATTCCAAACCAACCGTTCTTAAAAAGTCAATGGTATTATGCGGCGTACCCTGGTATGTACACCAACCTTGACTCAGCACATAAATTTGATTAAATAGGCTGAAAACATGTGACGAGGGTTGATGAATTGTACAAACGATTGTGCGACCTTCATTGGCCAAAGTTTGTAGTAACCGTATGGTATCGCAAGATGCTGAGCTATCCAAGCCGCTGTATATAAAAAATGAACACACATAGTTACATATATTAAAAATATAAAGTCCTAGTTCAATCAATACCAAAGTCAATGGCACTTCAATTATAAAGGTACTTACGTTGTTGGCTCATCCAAAAATAGCACCGCTGGATTATCAATTAACTCCAAGGCGATAGATAAGCGTTTCTTTTGACCGCCAGATAGGTTGCCAGTGCGTGTTAATTTGGTCTGTGATAACTTTAGGGTATCCAATAAATGTTCGATCTGGAAATAAGAATTGCGAATGCATTTACTAAATTGGATTTTGGACTTTTAAAAACTATTAAACTTGAGCCAGTTTATGAGGATTAATTTCCATAAAACATCAAAATAATTTTTAGGTCTATCTATTCTCGCAATTAATAGTATTTGTATCATTAATATAATATTATACTTACCAGCATTTTCTTCTCCTTTATGTTCATCGAATCGTTAGAGATTTTCAGTTGAGCCGCCAGCAGCATTGTCTCCTCAACGGTAAACCATGAATGAAAATGATCATCTTGCATTATATAACAACACAGTTTACGCGATTTAGTTTGTGAGTCGCCAAAATGTATATTACCGTTAACACCTTTTGTACTATACATAATATAAGAGAAATTTGAAGAACATAGTTTACTCTTAATAATATATCCTTGATTAATGTTAATAGTAAGTCTAAAATTTTTGAATCCAGAATAAATTAAACAAAAAGACGTTAATTTCGGTACCGATGTTAAATACATTATACCGAGGTTATAATATCACAAATAACAAATTCTTCATGCAAGAATGATCGTTTTGATAATGCAAACTAGTATGGCGGCTAAATGTTATAATGCTCGAATCTAAAAAATTTGTAAATTTGTTCGTAGATTTTAGCGTCGCCTTGGGCAACAATTCTTACCAAATTTCGGGAAGCTAACTTCTAAAATAAAAAAAATTTTCTATACACGGCCTTAATTTTGATCGAGCAGTTTGCAAAGCAGATATATCCAGTAGTGGTCCGGTGGTTCCGACAAAAGGGCTCTTTTTTCTTTTTCTTAGTAATCAAAAGACGTGTGTTAAATTTCAGATCGAAATCTCCCCTATCAAAACAATTTTCAAGTGTGGCAAAACTTCAAATCTTTCAAAAGGTTGGTGAAAGGGAACGATATTAGTGAGGTTAGATAATGGCCATAAATAAGATCCATAAGGGCTTTATTTTATGAGTGACAGTGTTCAAACTATTTCAACCACTTTTGAAAAATCTTGAGACAATCGTTTCGGATCAGGTTTGACATGTGTCACTGACATCTAAACAATACGTTTAAAAATCTAAGCTTAAAAAAAAACGTGAATAAAAGCTGTCGGATGACTGGTCCATACATAAAATATGGAATGTTTAAGGTAGTGACACAAGGTTTGGTATCTTAAAAACACTACATAAAAATTATTTTATAAAAAAAATTTTTTTTTTAACAAAATGTTCTAGCGCATATGAATACGATAAATGGTAAATGGGTTGCTTATTACGCACAAATCTCTATTCTCCGGATCTGACCGCAAACCAATTTTTCCTATTCTCAGAACTTAAGAGAATGTTAGCTTGAAATAATTCGCCGAAACTGAGGCCTTTATATAAGGAAAACGTCAATTGAACTATAAAAATGATAATTTTTGTAAATTGCCACAATCGACTTAAAAACAAATTAAGAAATAATTAAATATAATTTATTAATAATTGATTTCATTTGAATTCAGATATATGTACATACATATATGCATGCTGTTTAACTATAATTAATATACATACCTACGTAAATGCAATTTTTTTTTTATAAATATAGTTTTTTATTATCAAACTTACGTAAGACCTGTTAAAATATTCATCAAACTCGACTTGCCCGCCCCCGAGGGTCCCATAATTGCCGTCAGTTGACCAGAGCGAAATGTACCCGAAATTCCTTTCAAAATGGTTTTCTTCACTGAAAAAGCGTACGAAAAAATGAAAACATTGAAAAATAATAATAACAAAAAAGATTGGCACGTGCTAAAGTGCAAAATAAATATTTGCTTTTAAGGTCGTCTGAAATAACAAATTGTTTTTATATTTTTTATTTTCAAATACCTATAACACAAGCCAATATTAGCGCGTATTACTAACTTAAATTGGGTATGAGAAAAAGACTGCTGTAAATGCCTAAGAACGTCACGATGCTGCGTATGTGTATTTGTATGATATTCATTTATGTTTCATGTAAGTATGCCAATCAGTGCAAATGTGCTTATCACTTTGACAAATAGACAATTTTTTATTGCTATGAACCAATTTGCTATGCAAATTTGCATACATACATACAACGGATGTTAATTAATTAATACAAATGAAGACTTGTGCATATGTACTTACGAGTATAAACATATATATTATTTGCATATTAGTATGTACTATATCAGAACATTGTTTGTGTTGACGTTCTTATCGCAATGACTAATCAAATCTGGGTACATAGTAGATAAACACGTTTACACAAAAAAAGGAATTTTTACTTTATTCTTTTGCGTCAGTTCTTACTTTAAATTAAAATCTAGTTTAGTTAGTTTTTTTAAGTTGTCAAAGTTAACAATAGTTAACCCATTACGAAATGTATGTGCCAACCGGCACGTATGAAAATTTCTATTAAGGCATCTGTATTTATAGAATATATATTTACGCACATATATATAATACGTACAAACATATGCATATATATTTGTGAAAATTTCGTAGGTCTTCTAAGAAATATTTAAATAAATTCTGTGGAATTTTTAAAAACAAACTGGTTAAAATAAGGTGGCAGTATTACGAGCGCTCTTATTCTTGCTACAATAGTTTTACAGACGTCACTAGCCAAGTGAACTCCAATTGGAAAAAACAGTTTTATTTGGATATACTTTTATATTTGTTTTAACGTCAGTATCAATTACTTGCTATCGGCAAACTTCAAAAAGGACGAATTAAATTTGGCTTAGTTTGTGGATTTCACTTCAAACAAGAAAGCACGCTAACTTCGGCTGTACCGAACTTGTAATACCCTACACAGTTGCATTTCTTTTAGCATAAAATAATCAGTTCGTATGCCAGCTATATGCCATAATGGTTCGATATCAACTGTTCCGACAAATGAGCAGCTGCTTAGATAGAAGAGGACGCATGCAAAATTTAAGATCGATACTTCAAAAACTGGGGTACTAGTTCATGTACCTATGTATAGACAGACAGATATGACTAAATCGACTCAGCTCGTCACACTGACTCAGCTCGTCTCTTCCTTACACACTTCGTGTCAAACTGAATATACCCTGTTTAGGGTATTAAAAAGCGAAATTTTCAAGAATTTTATGAGAGATGGCGCTGACCGCGAAATTTTTCTTTAAAAAGAAAAATAGTTTTGTTGTTCGATAGGCAAAACTTAATGTATGCTCTATGTTGCACAAGAAAAAAACTTGATGTTAAAATCGAAATTAAAGTTATACTCACACACACCACAATTAAAACTACAGAATTCACGTATTTATCACGAGTCATAACTAATCTACAGGAGAGACATCGATTCCGGTCGTTTTTCTCCAATTGGAAGGCATTGAGCTTCACAAACCTTTCTTGCAAGTCAGATATTAAGAGAATAGTGCTGGAAGCTGTAAGATATCTCATTATTACTGAACTCAGACGAGTTTGAAGTTAACTTGGCCTTCTGGGGTTAATTCTTGAACAGTCGAACCATACTTAGCTCGTTGTGTTTATGTGTTAACCGTGCTGAGTAATCGCCGGTACTTGAGTAGTTGCAAATTGTGGCAGGTTCAGCGGGTGAATTGTGTCCTATCTATGGTGTTTCTCAGTACCATATCACTAAGCATAGGGTACAGTTAGTCACTGTTCAATTGGTATCGATGTAGTAAGCGGTCTGGAAGAGGAGGAATTTTCTCAGTACTTCATTCGTGGTTTTTGAGTAAAACACTTTTCATCGCTTACTCCTTAAGTTACCCAAACGGAAACATATGGTGTCGAAATCAGTAGGTTTATTATAGACTCAGTACATTTAGTAGATCGGGACATTTAATAGATCAGGACATTTAGTAGGTAATGTATATATATTTCGCATTAAGGAATTATAGCAACACAAAGCCATAACTGTGAGTGTGATCTCTGATCGGTCAAGCAAGGTAAAAGCAGCAAAATTAAAAGCAAATAATCTCTATATTTATAACCTTTTACAAATAAAAACAATACAATAAATTATTTTTCTCTCAACTTCTTGATAACGGATATTTAAATTCAAACAATAAATTGGCAATTGAAAGAGGTCTTTGTCGTAAATAGCAGATAATTTTTTTAAATTATTTTCTATTGATTTCTATTTAATGAACCGTAACTGAATTCACTTTTAATTGATCGTATACATATTCCACTTTCGTATATTTATGAGCACTCTATATATGCATTTATCATAAAATGGACACACATGCATACCTACATAGCTATAAATATGTGTATATTTCTATGACTGCTTGAGTTTAACACGTTTTTAGCATACTTCCCAAACGTGACTGGGTTTTCAAATGAACCCCATTTGCATGGCTATTTTAATTCATATATGTCTACAAGTTCGTATGTGCGACTCGTCTATATTGCTATTGTTTTAACAGCGTTGTTGACTAATGATCGGGCAAAGGCAAATGACCAGCGTTAACCTACAATCGCTGGCAAAAAAAAACCATAATAACTATAGTTAATAAAAATAGTATAACAAAGTGTGAGCCTGTGTATAATAAGTTTTAGTTAGTCACTTAAACTTAATCATTTTTAACATGTGCTTGAGATAAGCGTGGCTTAATTATTTTCCGCATTTTACATAGAGAGTTTAATAGCCCATTTCATGTGTAGAAATACGAAGCACTTGAAGTAAATAATATTTATTGCGTACTATGCAAATTGCTGAAATTATGAAAATTTAAAATTACACATATTTATATTGTTTACAATTTCCATTTTGCTAACCTTAAGCGGCATGGATTGATGCATGTCTTCATTAAATGCAATTGGCTTTCCTGTTATTCCAACAATTATGCTGTGCACAAAAAATAAATGTTGTTAACACGCCTTTTAACGGAATTCATGCGGAAGCACTGAAGTTAGTGGTGACTGGATTTTTCAGGTTAATTTACTTAAGCTTAGTTTAAAATTATAAGCGAGATAAAAGATGGACTTAACGACATTTTATGATTTTTGATCTGAAAACGCTTTTTATATCCTGAGCAAGTTATATTAAGTTTTTTACTTAGTTTGTAACATCCATGTCGGAGATCCTGTAATATATATGTATAAAAATGAGTACGTCTGTCTAGCTGTATATACGCCAATTCTCAATTTTTAAGATATCGATTTTGGGCAAGTCCTTTTCTCATCAAGAGGCTGCTCCTATGTCAAAACCGCCAATATAGGATCACTGTATCATATAGCTGCCATACAAACTGGTCGATTAAAGTCAAGTTTATATGTATGGAAAACGGTTTAATTTGACAAAACACTTTACGAAATTTGGAAAGAATAATTATCTAAAGCAACACTAAAATCTCCGTACAAGATGTTCCGATCGGACCTTGAAACCTATACCTGTCATACAAACTGACCGATTAAAACCAAGTTCTTGAATAAACAACTTTTTTTTATTTGTTAAGGGTATTATAGGTTTGGTATCTTGTTTTTACCATTGCCTACTTCCAATCTATTTTATAAAATAATTTCCACCTTTTCGTTTAATTTTTTCTCATATAATCGATCAAAATGGGCGATATGTTGTTGAAAATAGCGAGGCTGTTTCACTAACTTTTTAATGAATATAATGGTCGTTACCTCCACCGCCTAAGTTCAACATAGCTATTTCAGATACTAAACTAAATATCGTCATCAAACTGATATCGTGTTCGATTCGTCATTTCGCTGTTTGTGTTCGGCTCTCTTGAAAAAGAAAGGGATAACGGAAAGTAAAAACAAATGCGTACAGTTGAATTTCTTAAAAAGGAGCCTATGAATACCTTATTTACATAAAATAAACGCTTGCTATTCTACCTATACTTTATTATGTCACTCTCTTGTATTTATACCAGTTTTCTGTTTGATTACACTGCTTTTTTCACAATCGCGTACTCTTATTATAACAGTGGTTCTCAGTAGATAGTCGATCCTCGACAAGTTTTGAGAAACTAGCTCATTATTCGCAATTCTTGTTAGATTAGTATTTCACATGGAAATGTAGTAAAAAAAAACGATGTTGATCTAATAACCTCACACGATTAAGCCTGTCATATTCATATTTTATTGCATAAGACGCATAATTGAATAATCTATTATTTAAATGCAATGCGGAACAATACAGTTTAATTTAATTATGTAATTAAGATTAATACAAAGTATACTTGGATTGACAGCTTAAAGCTAATTAATGAAATTAAATGCTAATTCCGTAAACTTGAAGTATTAAGTGTAATATGAATTTTCTAAATTCTTTGCCAACGCGCTTAATAACTGCAAAAGGATTACTGTGCAATTATTATTACTTATATAATTTTTTTTTTGTTTTTTTTTTTATAACTATTGAACATGTAAATTAATTTTCTCCATAAATCCCATATTTGTTTATACAACTGAATCACTGAATTATTCATACTTTGTCTTACTCATACATTGTATGTTGAGAAATCTAAGTAACATATGATAGACAGGCATTGATAATAAGCTAATCTTTCTATACTCGTGTTTATTGTTATTTATATTTTAAAATCGAAAGTGTCAGCAAAATGCAATAAATTCAAATAAAGCCTAAAGCAATAATTATCTGTTGCTGCTGATCATCATTAGGTATTTAATCTTTCCCAACTATATAGTCTATAAAGTCTATATGTATATTACGTAAGAGTATCATTATTATATTATTATATTTACTATTACGATTCTCACTGCAACAAAAATAGCAAACGCAATATTAGGCGTTTTCGGTTCGCCAATTCTCTACTAGTTGTGTTTGAGCTTTGCACTCATGTAAACAATTTTCCATGTGGAAGCAACCATAACTAATTTAGGTTTAATTAAATACACGAGAGTATGTACATGAATACCTATTTCTATTTCTTTATAGAAGTGTAAAATATATTTTGTTAATACCAACACGCTTTTCTACAATGTTAACCCAATGGAAGACAGCCTTTCAAGAGGATGCAAAGTGGAAACCAAGTTAAGAAAATTTAGGTTCGACCTTCCAACGACAGTTAGAAACATTTTTAATAATAATTTTACTACTTTTAAATGCCTAACCAATTTTAAATCATTTCTTTTGTCATCCTGTCAATTTTACTACCTACTACTATGATCAAAAAGTAAGGTGAATATGTTTATAAATGTTATTTCTTTATTTATCCTTCCAAATCAATTTTATCTGCTTTAAAGTAATCCCAGAGCGCGGAGCGTCTTTAATGCATCCTCGGCCCGCTTTGAACTCGTTGTACCATTTATAGAGGTTTTTTTGTGCCATTTGATCACCAAAGGCCTTCCGCAACAGTTTCAATACGTCCGCACAAGAATCAAAATTAACTATTGTGAAAATCGAAAAATTCACTTTTGGTTGTTTACCAAAACATTTGTAACTCGGAGGTAATTAAACCTTTTGACAAGACAGACAGCTTGACAAATGTTATAAACAGTTAACCAATCCAGAAAAAAATTTATTTTCCTTCCTGATGTCCGTGAGCTTTAATGACAATTTTACCTTACTTTTTGATCACAGTAGTATGTACATATGAAGATATGCTGTAATACCCAAAATTTGACGGAATTTCAAATTATGTTTTAACTAAGGCCATAACAATAGTTCAAGTCTTCAATAACAGTTTCTTCCTAACCAATATTATTCCATTTGTCTTTTACTCCTTTGATCTCGTTAACCCGCAGAGTTTCCTTCCTTCCTTGCTTCAAAAATGTTTCGAGAACCGGAGACCATTATATACATATAACTTATTAAATATTGTTATAAATCAATCATCAAAAATTTGTGAGTTTCAGGAGGAGAAATTCTAACATAAAACCTGAAAAATAGTACGCTAATCATTTAATTATATCATTTATAAGGTCTGCGACAGTATCTGTGGGTGTTACAAACTTTCTTTTTTTTTCTGAGTATAAATGTAATATATCGTTAAGTGTTAAGAACGAATGAGAAAAAGTTTGTTTAGAACTAACATACAAATTTTACAGTTGCTTCTTTACGTTATTTCGTTTATGACACAACGTTGTCACAATTTTTCAAATCTATTATATTTCCCTTAATTACATAAAAATATTCCATTATTTTCACATTAAAATGTTTTCCATTCATTCAGTGGAAAAACGCAAATGAACAGACTGGTTGGCAGACAAAAAATATTATAATTGCTAATTTCGTTGAATGTATACACATATATTATATTATATTATATACGTATATATCTTCAATTTATAATTTTATGTATGTATATACATTCATAAGTATATACATATCTTCAATTTATTTAGAACCACAAAAAGTTGTGTTTGCCTCTTTTATTTGTTTTAACAAAAATAAGTGATTAAAAATAAATTTACCAGTTTCGGGGCTACAAACGAATTTACAAATGCATATACATATGTATATACTAAAGTTTATATAGACAACCAAATATAATATTATATAGACAACGGCTCGTAATAACTGTAGCTAAGACCTAGAGTAACCAGTTTGAATGCAACACAAATCTTTTTATCACAAAATGCGAAATACAAAGTCACAACAAAACTTGATTTTACATACCTACATACATGTACAAGTATATTATATATACATATATTATTTACATGACACTTTGGCAGTTTGCCGTTTGCCAACTGTTTATTCTTGAACTTAATTTAGAGAACATTGACTTTGGTGGTGTCTAGTTTCGAAGCTTGGTTGTATTTGTGGGCATACAGACATACATACATACATACCTTTATGCACTTGAACTTGATAGCTTAGATCCTTGAACTGTATATCGATGGGCTTGACGCGCTCTTTCAGCAGTTTACCGTGAGATTCCAACGTCATTTTTGTGTGAATATTTTGTGTGTGCACGGTGTTAAATGTATTTTTTTTTAAGTTTAGCTCTATATGATATTATTTTTTTATGGTATTATATGTATATTTATGTAGCTGTAAATTTATATTTTTCATATATTGTATATTTTTTATATGTATGATCACAGTTGTTGAAAATTTCACTGAAATTATTTGCACTTCTAATTGAATTCAATTGTCACTTAATTGTCTTGATTATTTCTTAAACACATTACACTTTCCCGCACTTTTGTTGTTGTACCGGTTAATTTTTATTCGTTAACTTTGTATATACATGTATACATATGTACAAAATATATATACTTCTTATTTTATTTTAATTTTATTTTATTTTATTTTTCTTATTTTATTTTATTTATTTTACTTTCAGTTACTGGCAACACCATTAAAACTGTACTCCTCTTTGCATAGTAAAAGTTGGAAACAGTAAAAATCGGCAAAAAAGGCTTGAATACAATTTAGCTGCAACTGTAATGAAATTACAACAAAAAAGTCAATCAGTACAAAGGGTAAGTCAAAATGCTAAATTTTTTTAACCTTAAGACATTCAACATTTGTACAAACATACATACATATGTACATACTATACACACATATAAAAACAACAAAAGCAAGCACCAGCATAAATGATTTGTCGCTTCCGAAAATTCCTAAGGTGATCGTGTTTTGACTAAAGTTTTAATTATTTCATGTAATTAACCTACATTTGTTAGTAAGTTGCTTTAAAGCGACTTGCTAATGGTTGTTGTTTTTTTTTTTGTAACACACATTCATTTATTTGTCTCAATTCAGAGGTTTCACGTTTCAAAACTAAAACGCCTTTCAGTTTTTTCTCTTTTTTTTTAAACATAACCCAAACAGGTGCTGTCTTTTTACATGTTTGGTATTTCGTCACAAAGCAATTACTCAAATTCCAATACCGTAGTAAAGTCAAGAAAGCAGTTAAAAATATACAATCATTTATGTTTGTTTACTACATTCAGTAGCGCAAAGAAGACAAGTGACACTATGACACCCGTCAAACTCAAAACAATTCCAACCACAATGTTTTTGAAAAGCCGTAATTAAGTATATGACATTTCACAGTATTATGGGTTTTGATAATTACGGATATTGCGGCACGTATTCAAAAGTATGTAGATATGTACATATATGTACGTACATACATATTTTCAAACAGTAATACACATAAATATCTATGCGAACCCTGCAGGCAAAATTAATACTTCTAATTTAGAAATGATAAAAATATTGCTTAATACACTTTAGTTCTGTTTTTTAGCAGATAAACGAGCATAACGATGGCTTCATAAACTAAAAAGATATAGTGTTTTTCTTTTCAAGTATTAGGCAGTATTGATAGAGACAAGTTTTCAACACGCTACGTACTTTATTTGACAGTTCTTTGAGTGTCACCAATTGGCCATAGAAGATTTTTCAGAACATAATACAGCATATGACATAGACAGTTAGCATTGAAAATACGCTTACTAGTATATCAATACATATAAGTAAAGTATAAATCGAGCCCAATCAAACGCAAAACTATCAGATTGCCTTAAAAGTGCCGTCACTTTAGCAACGAACTCTGAAGAAACTGTATAGAAAATGTCAAAAACGTTTAATAGTACAAGTATTATACACGAGATTAGATTAGATTAGAATGAATATGAAGTGTGCACTGCGACCCAGGGTCTATTATGCCCTCTCCTCCATCACATGCTTTCCCAAAGTCCCAGCACCTTGAAAAACTCCAACAACTTGCTGGGTGCTATTGAGGCAATGTGATCCCTGTTCACATAAGTGGAGCCTAGGGCCTTGAGCCTGCGTCTACAAATTGCGGGGCAATCTAGAATCAGGTGTTCTGGTGTTTCCGGCCTCATGTCGCAGAATCGGCAGTTGCCACAAGAAGCCATGCCCATGCTTGACAGGTGTTTCTTGAGCCTACAGTGCCCAGTGTAGAGTGCGACGGAGGAGTCGGAGTTTGCCTCTGGGGAGGTTTATCATTATTCTGAACCTGGCTAGGTTGAACCCTCCCAGTAGCAGTTTGGCATGGCGCATCCCTGCAGCCTGTTGCCAGTAACTGTCTCTGTTCGCTCTCTCCTTTATTGTATGAGGCCCCACCGCAATGCATGGTTCTGGCCCCATCATTCTGGTAGCAGCCGCAGAGCGGGCGAGTTCATCTGCCAGCTCGTTACTGGCTACCCCCTTATTCCCCGGCACCCAGATCAGGTGTACACGGTTGCAAGCTGATAGGCGGTTAAGCCTTCCTATACACTCCTCCACTAATAGCGATCGAGTCTCGTAGGCCGATATCGCTTTTAGCGCCGCTTGGCTATCGCTGAGTATTGCGATACTCTTTCATATACACGAGACATTGTTTGATAATACACGAAGAAGAGTACATTTTTCAGCTTTCAAGCCTAATTATAATTTATCTAGCATTATCTACCATTTAACTTGGTTCATTACAGGTCTAACATAAATAGTTGAATATCCAGAGCACAGCATAACCACACAATTCAATGTGTAATCAGATGGAGGCTACGTAATCTAATCTAAATTTTATTCATAGGAAGTCAATTAGGCACTTTAATTTTCTTCCTACTGGGCGCATTAAAATATTGTTTCAATGTAACATACATATGTACAGGGGTACATCTTACAGTCACTCGCCTTTTCAGCACTGCGTGTTTTAACAAGGCTTTACAGATTACATACATTAACAATCACAAAACGCTATTAAAAAATTTACTGTTACTCTTCTAAACACTGGTAGTTATGAATGATGCAAGTCAATAATTAAAATTTATGATCAACACTTATAACACTGACAACGTCGTGTCAAGCATAGACTTATTTATACCTAGAATTGCTTGAGCTTTTATTAATGATATACTTTGCTATAGATTGGTTAGCATGTGCAGTATTTCGTATCAAAGTTTAGGGTAATTAAAATTAGATACAGCGTTGTAATATAAAAGAATAGGAGGGCTCGTTATGAAAAATAACGAAACAAGTACTAAGTAACTCTCTCAACTCGTGACACCGTATTTTATGTTTAAACTCTTCCTGGAAATTCGAAATATTTTGTTTTCTTAAGTTCTTACAATTTGTAGAAAAATTTAAAATTCAGCCGATTTGCATCCTATCTTACTGCATTCCAACGTCCTTACACCTCCATCTATTAGGTAATTAAATAATAAGCAACCTGTTCATAACAATTATCTTAAACCCTTTAATCTATGGTAGTGAGATTTTATTGGCCATAAATTTAACATTCAGTGTTAGATTGTAAATACCCTACTCTGTAATCAATTAAATTTTAATAATGCCCAAGCGAAGCCAAAGTTCAAGGTGCGAACTTATCATAACTATTTGCGCCGCTTTTACATTGTACAGACCTCGTAAATATTAAAGAAATTATTTAATAATACAATTCCATTTTTATCTATTATTCATTGCTATCATAAATCTTTTTAAAATTGTTAAGTTAAATTACTAATTGAAGTTTGCATTAACTAAAATACAAAGTGAGATTATGGTTATAGGTATAATATAAAGTAGACTAGACTATTGTAACTGTCTTTATACAAGTCCTGTTTCAATAAAAATTTAATTTTTGCTGTAAAAGTAAAATCCATTTAGTTCAGAACCTCGAATAATACTAATTGCTTACTCTGTAAATTTAAAACCGTTAATATTCAAATTTATTGGATATTCAAAAAATTTCCCATTAAACGAACGGACGGACAACTTTTTTGATAAAAAATGTTTGTTTGTTTTTGATTAAGAAGTTTGTAGAATATTTAAGAATAAATAATCATAGTTTTTAAATCTGTTTTTACAATAAAATCGAATTACGATTCCAGATCATCGGTTACAACCGAGTACAACTCGCTCCACTGCATCGAATGTGCTAATGTGTCCATATGACAATTAGTGTGTTGTTTGGCAGCTGTTTATTTACGACGCGAACGAATTGGCTTGAGATTATGTGGTTCCAATGAAATCACGACTACGAAATCATTGAATATGTTGCAGAAGTGTTCTGGGGTGTCTATTTTATCAGAAACACAATCACAAAGCACTAATTGAAGGACGTAAAGTCACCGAAAACATACCTCATGCAAGTCGTCCATACACATCTGTTAATAACGATAATATCGTAAGAGGTAAAAAAACAGTGCTTGAAAATCACTGTGTTGGCAACAGAAAGAAAAAAGAGGATCTTAACATTTCTTATGGAGCGACTCAACACATTTTGATTAATGTTTTGAGTAAGAAACGTGTCAATGCTAGACTAGTACCGAAAGACCTTAATCATCTCAAAAAACGTGAGAAGTAGGGGTCGCAAAAAAAGGTGCTTGACAACATAGCTGAGGGTCCCTACAACATAGTTAGACGAGGATTTATAAATAGGACGCCGAAACTGTTCAGCAATCTAACGCATGGCGCTCCAAAAATGAGTTGAGACAGAAAAAAAATAAAATTCGCTGAAGGACATGCCAGCCGAGGTTTTTAACAACTATATCGAAAATGTATGGATTAAGCGTCGGCATGCTCATATTGGCTTAGGAGTAATTTTTGAAGACGATAATAAAGTTTTACATATTAAATACGTTTCCGTTTGTCAGTCCAGGTCAAATTTGATCAGATTTTATAAAATAATTTGAGGCGAAGACACTTAGATAAGCAAATATAATATCGATCGTTGTTTGGAAATTTTGTTTGGAACTGCATGTATTATGTACCGTAAACGATTGTACGAAATTATCACAGAAATGTCCTAACACCAATTTTAGGTCTATGAGGACATATTACATGATATGTACAGCGAACCGTAGGATAATGATCTCACAAATTTCTCAGTCTCAGAAATTAATAAAAAGTACTTTGGAGTTAATTTAAATATGTAAATAGATGATATTAAATAAAAAGATTTACTCTTTAGATAACTATATTTCGCGAAGCAGGATAGGATATATATACTGGGTATCACAACATATTTTTTCACATATTTTAGTATAACGTTTAGAATAATGATTATTTGCTAGTATTGATTCTTTATAACAACCAAAGTACTTTGAATCTTTAATTAAATAATTTATTTTTATGACACTTGGTAATTAATAATTATTTTGTTTTCTAATATTACACACTCCTGTTAATTTATTATCTTTGCTAGTATATAACATATGTATGCATCAATATTTTTATTTTCAATCACCTTTGAGGCTAACAAATACAGCACACTGCTTCGCAATCTCACAAACGCTTATCCAAACTTAACTAACCACAACAATAACAAACAACAACTTGACTTGACAAAAGCAAATGAAGCGACCAAAATATATTATACTTAAGCGCGAAATATTCGAACCCGTTTAGTAAGCGCGCAATGCAAAATAAGACTGCCGCGTGCTATAGGAAACGGTCCGTCTTGCCCGGTAACCACTTCGCGAAAAACTACGGAAGCGAATCCAACAACGAATTACTTAAAACCAGATGAGCTTGACAGCCCAATAAAATACAAAATAATAAGCACAACAAACACGCTCAATAAAATAGAAAAAAAAAAATTTACAAACTGCGTGCAGGTAACCGAAAAATAACAAAAACAACAAATAAAAAATAAACTAGTAACGCACGCAAAAGCCTAATACAACAACAGCGCTCAGCATTTGTTGATGCAAACAGCGTCGCGAAGTCAAAGTGCCAGAGACAAAAACAAAGTAGCAGCAAAAAAAATCATAGGTAAATACGTACATATATGGCAGAATATAAAGAAATATGTGGGAAACAAAAGTTATGAAGACAAAACGCATTTCGACATATTAGCATTTTTAGTTGATGAGTATTCAAGAATAACAGCAACAACGATAACAACAACACCAACACCTAATATGTCAGCAAACACAATTATTAATAAGCCAACAACCTTCAAGCAGCAAGGTAATTATGGAATTTCAAAAATAAATAAATGAAAAGAATTTGAAAATATTTAAAAATTAATTAATTAAATTTAAAAAAGTTAAGAAATTAAAAAAATTTAGCAATGTTAAATAATTAAATATTGAATATGATATGGTTAAACATAAAACACATAGGTTGCTTCTTTAGTTTCGTCGAACGTAAATTATTATATTTATTTAATTATTTTGTATTCAAAATAATAAAAAACCAAAAAAAAAGTTAGCTTCGGTTGCATCGAAACTATAATACCCTTCACAAATCTATAGGTTCCTTACAAGAACTTGATTCCGATCATTCAATTTGTATGGCCAGTAATTTGGTCTGAAGAATTTCTTCGGAGAATACATTGTTGCCTTAAACAATAACTCATGTCTAATTTCGTGAAGACAATTCAGTTAATATGGCAATTATATGATACTTGTATAGTCATCCGATCTATACAATTTCTTCGGAGATTGCATTATTGCCTTAAATAATAATCCATGCCAAGTTTTGTGAAGATCAATGAGCCGCTTCTTAATGAGATAAGGATAGGTGCAAAATTTCAGATCGATAGCTGAAAAACTGTTCACGTATATACAGATGTACGGACAGACATACGGACATGGCTACATCAACTCAGCTCATCATGCTAATTATTTATGTATATATTCTATAGGGTCTCCGACGTTTCCTTCTTGGTGTTACAAACTTCCTGGCAAACTTAATACAAGTATATCCTATTTATGGTATATAAACGTTAACTTCGGCTGCATTAATGCTATTATACCCTCCACAGTTGCATTTTTTATACCATAAAATATAAAAAGATCTTTAACTTGATATTGAACGGTCAGTTTATATGGCATCTATAAGCTGTATTGATCCGATCTGAATAATATATTCGCAGATTGTAACGTAGCCTTGGAAAATAATCTATTTCATATTTCGTGAAGATATTTTGTCAAATAAAAAAGTTTTCCATACAAGAACTCGATTTTGATCTACCAGTTTGCAAGGCAGGTACATATATCCTATAGTTGTTCCATATCAGCGATGCCGAACAATGAGCAGATTCTTGGGAGAAAGGACGTGTGCAAAGATTCAGATCGATAGCTGAAAAGCTGAGGGACTAGTTCGCGTATATACAGACGTACGGACAGACGGACAGACATACGGACATGGCTATATCAACTCAGCTTATCATGCTGATCATTTATATATGTATTATATAGGGACGTTTCTTTTTGGCTGTTAGAAACTTCATGGGAAAGTTGATATGCCCTGTTCAGGATACAAAAAAATTAGTGAAAATATAAACTTAAAACATTTGTTACATCAGTTTTATATTTGTTTTTTACTCAAATGAGTATGGGAAAGAATTTTCGCTCAATAGAGAATTCCAAAATAATGCGAACATAGAAGTGCAATTCTTGACCAAAATAAGACAATTTAATTATTTAGTGAACATAAATAGCTTTTCTTACGACAAACCGGAAAAAATTAAATTTAAACGCCGTCAACTCTCCACCAACTTCACCCATATAATACAAGTTACAGATCTAACAAGAAATTGTTTTAAATATTATTGTTGACATTGTTTTATGCTCTACTTCTGGAATTTGTTAATTTTCACAAACTATCCCAGAGTTCATCCTGGACTAGTGAGGGACCGAATTCATCTCGCAATAGCTCAAATGACAAAGATGCATATAATTGAGTTTTAGGCACTCGCGATGTTTGATTGATTTTTTTTTACAAAAATAAATATTTTTTGGCAATTTCTTCTCTTATTGCTATACCTTAAACTCTAAGCGCTGCTATAGGTACCCAGAGTGCACAATAGACTCCGGACTACCCTCTAAAAATACACGCAGTAATCCTATCATTATTCGCAGATAACTTTTATTCGAAAGCAAATGTCCGTATATAAATAAATGCTCAAATCTTTCTAGAAATAACTGAAATCAGTTTCAGTCCGTGGTGATCAGTATTTTGCGGTATCTACTGCTGGCGGACGGAATGTGGCAATTAATTAGGAATATGAACTTGAAGAAATATGCATATTAATGAGAGTTTGCAGACACATATAATATTAACAAACATACGATAATATTCTTGAATCGTTTATTTCCAAACGGAACGCTCACTGCGGTGCAAACGCACAAAAAATTTTCCACTGCCTCAAGGCGAGTCAACGCAAATGTGCGTTGTCAGCTATGCTAATAAGTTTCAGGGGTTTAAACGTTGAAAAATTAAATGTCAGCAAGTTATAGTTGCGTCTGTCATGCCAACTCCGTGCATTTAATTGGAGCTACACAGTGCATAAACAAGCGATCGTTATAGGCCCTGAAGCAGTTTACACTTTTCAGCACTTCTTTTAAGCGGTGACATATATTGTTGTACGAGGGTTGCTTTATAAATTACATAACTTTCTTTACGTAGCTTTGATTCTTTTAACTACATGGTCTCTTTTGCAAGAGCTTTATGCGAAAATTTGCTTCGGATGTGAAAGAGAAGGCAGAGAAATGGAGAAGACTTTCTTTTAATAGATACCGACATCATGTTTGATTTTATTGTATGCAGGGCGAGAAAGGATAGATATTTTTTATTTAAAAGTCTTACATCTTTCGGCCTAAAGAACGGTTTGCTGTCAACCGAGGAAACTTCGGAGACTCGACTTTTCTTTACAATTTACAATTTTAACATTTTTTTTACGAGTTCATTATGATGATAATTTCAGGTTTGCAATATTTTATATGCTCGTTTGCTCACTCGCAGGGTCTTGTCGGTGCTCGAAATTTTTCAATTTGGATTTTTTGGTTTTTAATTTTAAAAATTTATTTTATGACATTTTATTTTAATTTTTTATATATCTTCTTTCGTCATCCTGTATATAGTATCCGTCTGTATTATTGACTTATACAAGTACAATATATTTCATTAAATTCAATGTCATACATACATATGCTTAATTAATAAACCTGCATATAATAATAATTATATTTTATCTATAACTATATGAATTCTTTTGTATTAAATACTTGTATTTTACTATCTACAAGCATGTAGACAGGCATAAGTATGGTTTAATGGGTTTTACTTGTAAAGGTGTGTTCAACTGAAGGTTCGTCGCGTTCAAGTTATATTAATTATGATTGAAGCAGTATGATTGACGATGACTAAGATCACGAGCACATTGTCTACAGTACTTCGTCTTTATAAAGAGACGTTTCTTTATTCTAAATGGTTTTGATATGTAACGAATTACCTAAAATCGCTTACCTATCAGCTCGCATTTTGAACAGAATATTTTCGCTATAAGCAAAAATTTCTAATAAAGATACATATGTCATTCCAGCTGGTTTGAAAACCATATTTTTATAGCATGCTATCAAATTGTATAAATTGTCCAAGGGTCATTGTGATATCTTTATAATCGTTATTCGAGGTCCACGGAAACCCGCTAACATATTAAAAACTTATTAAGTGTATTTGAGCTTTTTTCTGAATTTATAATATTTTAATATTGTATTATTTATATTATTTTATAATTACATCTGGGTTCTATAGTCATAGGACGACGATAACAAAGGTTTATATATCGCTTTATTTTTATTTTTTAAATAATGAGTGCAGTTGATACAATATTAATGTGTCATACACTGGGTCGATGTTGTACGCAAATTATTTTACATGTAGGTACGTCTGTATGAATATCACAATTGTATATAGCTATCTACAATTCTCTTTTATTCACCCAACCTTCAGTTTCAACAGATACTTAAATACGAGGTCACTTTTATGAATATACGATTATTCCCTCAAGTGTAACACTGGCGACAAGTCATGCCATTGTAAACTGATCCTATAGTCCTTGCAGGTCATGAACTCTACCAAAATATTTCCGGGAAGTTAAAAAAGCTCTCCTCCCTCATAAGTTAGAATTTGTATTCGAACATAGTTCTAAATAAGGCTTGTAAACGTTTCCGAATACACGTCGTTGACCTTCGTGTTAGCTTCTTGAAGAAATTCAACGAATTCTCAGTCAAAAGCTGCTCTGATTAGGCCTCAATATCACGATATACCTACGTTATTAAACAATTCTAAATTAAAGTAGGTGCAATGATAATAAATAACTTTATTTGCGCGGTATGCCAAGAGAAGGCATAAGTTGATTATTTTTCCATTGTTCCAATGTTCCGAAAATGCTGCATGCATTTGAAAGACGATTTTGTATGTCAAAAATGCTGCTTGAATAATACAATTATAATTGCAAAAAAGAAGCCGTTTTATCATCGAATTGTGACTAAAAAATAGATCCATTATGACAATTCTAAACGCAAAAAATTATATGTGAAAGATAGCCAATCAGCCACATCAACGGTAATGCTTTGCATTTGGTGAGTTGAGAAGAACGTGCTGAATTAAGAGTTTCTAAAACCGGGTGAAATCATTAATGGGCACCGCTCCGACAACAACTCATCAAATTGAAGTGATCGATTACCGAAAAACTGCCGGAATTTGCGACTAGACATGAGACAATAATTTTCGATCATGACAACGCTCGTGCCTATGTTGTAGGACCGGTTAAAAACTATTTGGCTAGCGACTAGGAGGTTTTGTC